TGTTAAGCAGTCACCAGGCAAGGACTGCAAGTGTCCTGGCGAGATGACAAAACGACAAAACAAAACAGCTGCAGGAACTGCAGCGACATAACCTCAAAAGACATACATTCTAGCACGCAGCGGTATCTTATATGATTCTACACACACTTGGCAACCGGAATTGCAGTGGACCGCCCGCTGCCGTTGGCATGCGTATGACTTTGTCGAGGCGACGAAGTGTAACTTATTATTTCGGTTTAGATTCTACTGATTCGACATTTTTGACGATTTGTAGCGTGGAACATGCAGTGGACGAAATTAAATTGGCAACAGACCAAGAGAGGCAAAAAATAAGCACGATAATGGGAAAAACAAAAGCCACAACACATATATCAACATAAAAATATATGCATTAGCAATAGGATAATAATAAGAATAAGGAGTAGTGGAAAATAAGTGAAATAAAAAAAATTAAAAAAAAAAAATTTATAACAATATGCGCATTGGCAAATTGCTGCCATTCTTTGCTGTTTGTATTGAATATCGTATACTACATACTTGACGTGCGCATCAGCTAAGTTGCGTATAGCCGTACATTTGTGGCATACACCCATAAACGCATAAGCACATAAATACTTACTTACAACTGCAATGTCTTGAGGCGTCGTTTGGCGTGCGGGCATATTTGTGCGCTTGTGTGTCTGCATAGGTGCATGCCCAAGCGTCACACTGTCTGTGTCATAACAAATTTTTGTTATTTTCATTTTTCTACATTTTAATTTACAAAAATTGTCTTCTAAGTTCGTTGGCATTCCAAATGCATGCACATGGCGTTTGTAGCGGTTGGCGGTCTGCGATAGCTGATCGGATTGCGAACAGGAAGCAGTGCGCCCTGAGTTATGCAGTGATCTAAATATTTGCAAATAATTTTTTTTTTCTTGCATTATACTTGTAGTCTTTTATATGCACACATACATGCATAGATGTGTTTATATTGCTAAAATTTGATAGTTACGAAGCTTTATTTGCTTAAAGCATATTAGAAATAGGTGACGCATAGAACAAAGAGAAATTATAAGTGATCACATAATGTGGGTTGGAGCAAGACAATTCGAAGAATTACTAATATAGTTATGAATAACTGTTTATTGGTAGATGTTTAAGATTTTTGCGCTTAAATAAGGAAATTGGCAGTAAATATTTGCTTATGCGTGAGTGTATGTGCAACAAACTGTAAGTAAGGGATCTTTGCGAACTCACAGCCAAGAGAGATACACCACATATCTAGATATAAAATACATAAACATATGTACATACATACATACAGCAGCTATGTGGTAGCCCCAGCTTAACACGTATGATCGCCACCAAAGCTCATATGCGGCTGGTCAACGGCAGTTCATATCTTTGCCAGCGCACAAAAAAAAATATTTTATGCATTTCTTATTTTTTTGCCTCGCAATTCATTTTGATTTATTTGTTTGTCTTTTGTGCTGTTTATGAAACGTGCGAAGCCATAAAAATTAATTAACTACATGCCGCATGCCCGAGTCTTCGGTGTGCACTTGTCGCACGTTGTCGTTGCCGGTGTTGATTGGTGGCAATGTCAGTGACAGTGGCTGTTGCGGCATTCGCGGTTGTGGCATGCAATGAAAGTGCAACTTGTTGACATACAAAACAATTTCTCTGCCTCCCTTCAATACACAAACGCACAGATGTGGGTCTTCTCTTAAATTAGTCAGCTTAGGTTTTGGCTTGCTTATTTCTTTTAGTTTTTTTCTGTTACTGGCATCGCATAATTGCGTACATATCTATGGTACATTCAACAAATAAACCGTGAAATTGTTGCTAGTGCGCAGATACATAAATAAATTTACTAAATAATTTGTTTACTGTTGATGTAAGCCGCTGTGTTTTCTTATGCTAAGCGCTGATGCCACAGATAGAAACAAATACAGGCGAACGGTAAAATACACATATAAATATTCACATGTGGGAGTTACTAAGCTTTAGTGGCTGTAAAAACTTCCGTATAGATAAAAGTTTTGAAAAGTCACTATCAGCGATCGATGTTGTAAGCTACAACAAACATATTCATATGCTTACAGTGTATATGCAGTGTTGTTAAAATTAATAGTGACACTATTTTTACACAAAAAATAAAACTGGCTACTTGCTAGAATTTCGCTTTATCGAAGCAGGGATATTAAGATATCCTAAGATTTTGTATTTTTGCAAGTTTGCTTAGAATAAAAATAATAAAAGAAGTCGAATTAATATTTTTTAGTGTTTCAAAATTTTTATAGCCAAATTTTTTAATGACATGAACATTTGAAAGTTTCAAAAGAGGTACACTGCTTAGACATAATTGTATATATGTGCCCCAATATTTTTCAAATGACTGTAAAAGTACATAGAAACGTATATACTCTTACTTACATATTTATGCTATTAATCTATTGACTCGATTATGAAAAACAATTCACTTCCATGAACATTTTTGTTTGCTTAGTAAATTGATCTCTCTTTGCCTAAACAGTATTTTATTTTAACATTACTTTTTGGTACACTTTAATGTTGTTTTTCAATATGATTTGGTTAAATCATGACTGTCATATTTGTGAACTCAAACACTTTTTTATTACTTACTTTAAAATATTTTACTTACGATTATATTGGTTTTGTTCAAAAATTTAAATAAAAATATTACATATTCTTCTTCTTCTTCGGCACTACAACCGTTAGTATTTCTGGTTCTTTCTTCTTTGGTACTCATAGCTTACGCTATGCTCCAAAAGCCGTGCGGAGTACATTTTTATCGAATACTCCAAGTGCTTTCTTGTCTCGGTTCGAGATCCATGTTTCCGCGTCATATAATAGAAGTGGGAATGATAAAATACTTAAAGAGCACAATTTTTGTTCATCGAGAGAAGGATCAGCTTCTAAATAGCGTACAAATCCTAAAGTAGCACCAGCTGGCAGGACTTATTCTGCACTCAATCTTCAGACTTCGATTGTTGGTGGTATATGCTGGTTGCGAGATAGACAAAGTCCTTCACTTTTTCCAATTAAAACTGCCAACTGTCACGTAGCTTCCAAGACGCGAGTAACCTTGGTGTGTGACCTCCACGTACTTTGCCTTGCTCTCGTTCACTACAAGATCAACCTCTTTCGCTTTTTTTCTAGGTAGGCAAAGGTTGTACTGACGGATTTGTTCCTAAGGCCTATGATATTAATGTCATCTGCGGACCCCAGTAGCATTATCCTTTTAGAGTAGAGGGCACAGAGTGTTTTAGAGAAGGCACACGAGAGGAAATCACACTGTTTAAAACCTCGACTGGTATGGAACGACTCGCAGAGGTTTTTCCGTTCTGACGTAGCTGATGGTTGTTCACAACGTCATTCTGCATTATCGTATGTGTTTCGATACCAAATGTAAGCTATAAATGGGCAGCTCCTGTCAGTGCTGAGCTTTGGCAAAAATGTGGAGGGTGTAAAATCATGAAGTTATTGATGCAGAAGTAATAATAGGTCTAGCACAAAAAAAAAAAAAAATACACTATTGTTGCACTAAAGTGAGAGTTGTGTTTAATTAAAATGGTCGAATTAAGCTCAAATATGCACCGCTTTATTCAATAACTTGATGCCATTTGGAAAATAATTTCATAATACCACTCTCATACAAACCCTCGTCTCTGTTGGTAACTGACTGGGAATTTTCAGTAAATTTTCATAAGCTTCTCTTGAGGCGAATTATTAATCCCTTAGTGTCAAGTTCGGACTATAACGTGGATGCATAAGAACCTCCCAACCCAGCTCCTGGAGTTTCTGTCGCGTCACTATGTATGTGTGTGTCCTGGCGTTGTTTTGACGGAACGCAATTCCTCTGCTATTGTCCAAAGCTCGCAGCTTCTGGGCGATTGATTTCTTCCTGCTTTTAGTCCAACTGTTGACAGTACAGTTCCTAATTAAATGTTTGACGGTTAAAGGAAAAGTTTTTAATAGGTACTTTCATGTCAATCCCACCAAATACATAGAACAACCTTCCTGACTATTTCGACTTGACGCTGTCGTAAGTGACTCACTTTTCATTACCGGGAATCATGTGCTTCAGAAATGGACCGCTTTTGTTGTTATTTAGCAGCGATACGCAGATGGAAATTCGTTTCATAAAGTATTTTTCCGTTAACTCGTGTGCAGCTCATACATAGAATTTCTTTTTGTTTCCAGCTGTATTTAAATGTTTTTTATGCAATTTTCAGTTCCTTGGTGCTTACATGATGGTCGGCATCGACAATTTCCTTTTTTTATCGATAGTTCTGAGAGCTGTCTTCCAGAGGTGGTGTATCTCTGTCGTCGAAATTACCGAAACGGAATCTACGGAACCAAAATTGTGCGTGATTGGCTGTCGTATTAGCAGAACCAGCCAGTGATTGTGCTTTCGCTTTTATCGAAGAAAAGCTTACAAATGTGGCTAAAGTTTTTGAAGAAATTTTATATAGAAATTCTAAAAGAAAAATAAAATTTTTTTTACGATATTCGGCTTCCGATTCCATTATAATAGTAATGTGGGTTATAAATTTAATTAATAATATCACCCCAAGCTAACAACTCTTTAAGTAAAGTTCCGCAAACTGAAAAACTAGTGACTCTAGATTTATCATTTATAATAAATGAGAATTGAAGGCATAAGCATAATGAAAGCGAATCTAAAATTTGTAAAATCAGATACAAATTAGAGCTACTTTTCACTTATGGTTTAAGTCAAAACAATAAAAAGCAAAATGGCTGATATTTGACATAATAAATTCTTGTTTTTGGGCTATCGACACAATCTTATACATATTGTATATATAATATACTATAATTGAATCATGTTTTCATTATAACTGAATAAATTAAATATAAAAGAATAAAAATGAAAAAAATATCGACTGTACTATTTAATTATTAATAATATTACAATTTTCTTTATTAAATTGTTACTTCCTTCAATTCATTATTATTTTGCTTTGTTACAGATCAACGGCCTTGATATTATTCATCGTACTCTTCTCTGTTCAATCCACATACTCCAGATTCGTAAGTTAATTCATTTCAGGAACCTCCAAACCAATATATGTTCAATATTATTATATGAAAAAAAATAAAAAATAAAAAAATCATTAATATGTCTCCTTTAGTATGGAACACGACATAAAAGACAATATGGCGCTAATATGTACCTACCAGCCAGTTATATAGTGCCAGGCGGAGAGGGTGACGATGCCGCCGAATGGACTGAATGGAGTTCACCATCAGAGTGTTCACGCACATGCGGAGGCGGTGTATCATTTCAGACGCGCGAATGCCGGAGAATAGCGTAAGTTGAAGCCTTCACAAATGTCACGCTAGTAAATAATGTTTGACACATCATTTGTCATTACAGGCGCAATGGTGCACCGATCTGCAAGGGTGGCAATCGCAAGTACTTTTCTTGTAATACACAAGATTGCGCCGAAGATGAGCCCGACTTTAGATCGCAACAGTGTGCGCGTTTCAATCGAGTACCCTTCGATGGCGTCACTTATGACTGGGTGCCATACACAAATGCGCCCAATCCGTGCGAGTTGAATTGTATGCCGGTGGGCGAACGTTTCTACTATCGTCAGAAAGCGAAAGTCATCGATGGCACACGTTGCAATGATCGCGATCTTGATGTTTGTGTGGATGGTGTGTGCCAGCCGGTCGGTTGCGATATGATGCTCGGCTCCAATGCCAAGGAAGATAAGTGCCGCAAATGTGGTGGAGATGGCAGCACGTGCCGCACTATTTCGGACACCTTCACTGCCAATAACTATCCAGTCGGTTAGTAACCATATAAGTCGTTAATTAACTGTGTGTGTTTAATATTTTTTTTCGACCGTTCTTTTTTAGGTTATAATGATATCATACTCATTCCAAGTGGTGCCACAAATATACGTGTGCAGGAGACGGCGCCCTCGAGCAATTACTTAGCCTGCCGCAACTCAACTGGTCACTATTATTTAAACGGTAATTTTCGTATCGATTTTCCACGTCCTATGTTCTATGCTGGCTGTTGGTGGATCTATCAAAGAAAACCAACTGGCTTTGCCGCACCGGATCAACTAACTTGCAGTGGGCCCACAACAGAGTCCATCACTATAATGATGTTGGTGCAGGACAAGAATTTAAGTCTAACGTATGAATATAGCATACCAGAATCATTGAGTAAAACAACACCTGTGGAGTACTCGTGGACACATTCGGAATTTGAGCCGTGTAGCACACCATGTGGGGGTGGTACCCAAACGCGTACCGTAACCTGTACCAACCGCATGACTCTCGAAGAAGTTGATCCCAATTTGTGTGATGCCAACGCCAAGCTACCCGAAGAGCAAGCATGTAATGAGCAACTATGTGCACCAAGTTGGTTCGAGGGTGAATGGGGCAAATGTTCGAAAGGCTGTGGAGCTGATGGCGTACAAAATAGAACTGTTATCTGCGAGCGCATTTCGCCGAATGGGTAAATTGTTATATAAGAAAAAGAGAGATTGTAAAATGGATAATTTCAATTTCTATTCTTGTTTGTAGAACACATACCACAGAGGAAGATTCTGTATGTTTGGAGAATGTAGGCAACAAGCCGGCTACACAGCAAGAGTGCAATAGAGATGTGAAAAACTGCCCGAAGTATCACTTGGGACCTTGGGCACCAGTAAGTTATTCGGTCTATGCAGAAACGAAATTACTTCTACTAATTTTTTTTTTTGTACTAAAATAATTCTAGTGCGACAAATTATGTGGAGAAGGCAAGCAAAAAAGGAAAGTCATATGTTATATTGAGGAGAATGGGCGTAAGCGTGTACTTCCTGAAGAAGACTGCGTAGAGGAGAAGCCCCCAACCGAAAAAGAATGCATACTCACCCCTTGCGAGGGTGTGGATTGGATTTTATCTGAATGGAGCGGGGTAAGATTTTTTTGTAAACAATTTAGTACGGTGCTTAGGTAATGTTGACTAATTATCGTGCTGTAGACCTGATTGTTGCGGGAACATAACTATTCAAGTCATATGTATCCTCATCTATTTGATTCCAGTGTGATGAATGTGGACAAAAGACCGAAACACGTACTGCCGTATGTGCTTCAAAATCTGGCAAGATATATCCAGAAGAATTCTGTGCACCTGAAGTACCAATACTTTCACGTCCATGCAAATCGTCTAAGTGTACACCAAAATGGTTCACCTCGGAATGGAGTAAATGTTCTGCGGCATGTGGAAAGGGTGTGCAATCACGTATTGTAATATGTGGCGAATTCGATGGTACGAGTATTAAACCAGCTGAAGAGTCTAAATGTGATGCTTCTGCGAAACCAGAATCGGAGCAAGAATGCGAAGGCGAGGAAAAAGAATGTCCTGGTCAATGGTTTACTGGACCTTGGGAGCCATGTAGTAAGCCATGTGGTGGTGGAGAACGTACGCGCGAAGTTTTATGTTTGTCTAATGGTACTAAATCGCTTAACTGTGATGAATCGAAAATTGAGTCTCTTTCTGAAAAATGCAATACCAAGGCATGTACGAAGGATGAACTTATTCCAGTTGATAGCACTACATCACCTATTACCGAAGACACCGAAGAAGATGATTGTGAAGAAGATGAAGAGGACGATTTAGTTTCTAAAGAGGATCTCAAATTGGCAGAGGGTATAGAGTTTGATAAAGAAACAGCTGCCCCCTTATCCCTTTTAACCGATGAACTAATGTTTAGTGACTCACCATATACCAAAGAATCAAGCGATATTGCTTCAACAGACATTCCGTTAACTACAGTAGAAGGCTCCGGCGAGAAAACAGATATTACAGAGGATACTTCTCTTGTTAGTGAAGGCAGTGGAGATGAGTTCAGTAGCACGGCTGGGATTTCAGATACTACTGAATCCGATGGCACCTCTATCTCGCCCATATCTACGGATTCCACTGAATCTGAAACCGTGTCCTCAATTTTCACTGAGTCATCAATCTCCTCTACAAAATCGTCAGAGACAACGGATACAACTGAGGGAGCATCAGACAGCACAACTGCGTCTACTTCATCTTCCACAGGTGCATCTGAATCTTCTGAGACAACGAATACGTCTGTGGGAGCATCAGTCGAAACCACTGCGTCTACTTCATCTTCCGAAACCTCAAGTGCAGCAGAATCTTCCGTATCCACTGAATCATCAATTGCACCTGGTACTACCCAAACTTCTGAATCAGTATCAACAGATGTTTCACTATCTACAGAGACAACTGAAATATTGGGATCAAGTGGTTCTACTTATAGTTCTGAAACAACAGAAGTACCTGAGTCTACTGAATCCTCAGCATCACCTGAGTCAACCCAATCAACTGTTTCGGAAGGCACTGAGCAAACTAGCTCTATCCAATCGTCAGCTTCAACTACTGTAGGATCTTCTGAGTCAACTGATTCTCCTGCGTCAGCGGAAACCACCGAAACGGCTGGTTCTACTGAGTCGACAGTTAGTTCTCCGGAGACGACTGATTCAACACAATCAACAGAATCCACTGAATCTACATCTACCGATACAACTGAATCAACTGTGTCTTCGTCCACTGATTCAACTGAATCAACCACCGAGTTTTCCACTGAATCCTCAATATCCACAGGATCTTACACAACGCAATCAACAGAGTCTACTGAATCAACTTCCAAATTTTCCACTATAACAACGGATTCTACTAAGTCGTCAGTTTCAGTTGATACCAGTGGATTGCCGTTATCAACAGAATCAGCCGAAAGCTCTTCTGTTGTCACTGATACTACTATTGATGTATCAAGCGATTCTACAGTTACTCAATCCACTGTTTCAACGGAGACCTCAGTGTCTACTGAATCGGCAACAGGTTCTCCCCTCAGTACAGACTCAACGACCGATTCTTCAAAAAGCACTGATACTAGTGATATATATTCAACTGATACCTCAGCAGCCACTTCAGAAGTCACCACTGAATCCTCTGAAACTTCAATTAGCTCTGACGCCACCACTTCATCAGATTCCACTGATACAACAAAAATATCTGACACGAGCACTGATGACTTATCCACTACTGATTCTGGTATATCAGAGAGTACATCTGACAGCAGTATCTCAACAGAGAGTGAAACTACTGAGGTTTCAGGATCTACAGATATTTTAGAATCAACAGCATCAGGTTCGACAGAGGAGAGCACAACTATTGGATCAACAGAATCAACCACTGAAGATGTGTCAGGGGAGTCAACCTCAGACATTAGTACTACTATTAGTACGGAAAGCACAGAAACCACAGAAAGTGGGCCTACTGAAAGCACTGAGACAACAGAAAGTGGAGGTACTGATTCCACCTTTGAGAGCTCTACTGTTGACATTTGGTCTACAACAGAAGAAGATGAAGAAAGCACACCTAACACGCTTGAAGCCCTTATAACCAAGGCTCCCAAGCAGAAGAAATGTAAAGCCAAGAAGGGTTGTAAAAAAGCAACTTATGGATGCTGCCCTGATAACAAGACGCCTGCTAAAGGACCATTCGATAAGGGTTGTGCGATTGTTAAAACTTGCGCGGAGACTAAATATGGTTGCTGCTCAGATGGCGTCTCACCTGCTGAGGGTGAGAACAACGAGGGCTGTCCACAATCACAGTGTGCGGAAACACTATTTGGATGTTGTCCAGACAATTTCACACCAGCAGAGGGAGAAGATGCTGAAGGATGTCCTGAAACTACGACGGCACCACCAACAACAACTGTCGAGTTGGTTACTGAAGGATCAGGAGAAACAACCGATACACCAGAGAGCACAATATCGACCGAAAGCACTGAAACACCAGAAACCACTGAAACACCAGAAAGCACTGAAACACCAGAGAGCACTGAAACCCCTGAAAGTACAGAAATTCCTGAAAGCACAACTGAAAGTAAAGTGGTTAAATCATGTGCCTTTGGTAAATTTGGCTGCTGTCCCGATGGTACGACTGAAGCTAAAGGAAAAGACTTTGAGGGATGTGAATCTCCAACGCCAGTTGCCAGACAATGTGGCGAGGCAGAATATGGCTGTTGTCCAGATGGTCTCACTTCTGCTACTGGCCCTGATTATGCAGGCTGTGCACCTTGCACAAGTGAGCCTTACGGTTGCTGCCCCGACAACCAGACACCTGCTCATGGATCACTTGGTGAAGGCTGCTGTTTGAATACGGTTTACGGTTGTTGCCCGGATAATATTAACGCAGCACGCGGACCTAACTTTGAGGATTGCGATTGCAAATATACTCCATATGGATGTTGTGACGACCAAAAAACAGCGGCACGTGGACCAAATAAAGAAGGCTGTGGTTGTGAAAATTCAACATACGGTTGTTGCCCAGATAAAATTACACCGGCTAATGGACCTAAATTTGAGGGCTGTCCATGCCACACACTACAATTTGGCTGCTGTCCCGATGGTATCACAATTGCACAAGGACCACATCACTATGGTTGTCACTGTTCACAAACTGAGTTCAAGTGCTGCCCCGATGAAAAGACTCCAGCCAAGGGACCAGACGGTCAAGGTTGTACCTGCTTGGAGAGTAAATATGGTTGTTGTCCGGATGGCATTGCTGCGGCGGAGGGAGACAAATTCGAAGGTTGCGCATCAGTTAAGGAACCACCACAAAAGGCATGCGGACTACCAAAAGAAACCGGTCCTTGCGGAAACTTTAGCTTTAAATACTTCTTCGACACATCGTATGGCGCATGCGGACGCTTCTGGTATGGTGGTTGTGAAGGCAACGATAACAGATTCGAAACCGAGTCGGACTGTAAGGCTACCTGTCAAGAATATGTCGGCAAAGAAGCCTGCTTCTTGCCAAAGAGTTCTGGACCGTGCACTGGCTACAATAAGAAATGGTACTTTGACACCGAACGCAATCGCTGTGAAGAATTTAACTACGGTGGCTGTTACGGCACTTCAAATCGCTTCGATAGCTTGGCCGAATGTCAGGCACTCTGTGCCATTGATGAGACGACGCGTAAGTTGAATGGTGTAGTGTTTTAGTGAGTTAACAATGTGATTTACATACATTTATGCTTATGTCTTTACAGCGCCTTGCGATCAACCCATGGAGGCTGGACCCTGTGAGGGCAACTTTGAACGTTGGTTCTACGATAATCAGACCGATGTGTGCCGTCCATTCAGCTATGGCGGTTGCAAGGGCAATAAGAACAACTACCCGACTGAACATGCGTGCAGCTACCACTGCCGTCAGCCGGGCGTGCATAAAGGTTTGAACCTCGTACTTAAGTTATTTTTGCACTTTATGCTTTTCGTTATTATATAATACAATATTATATTATGAAGTGCAGTGCTAAGCTCTGCTATGCAATATGTTTTAGCTTAGGCGCATGTTTAAGGCTTGACTGCACCTTTGTGTGTTATTTGGTGTTGGACTGCATATTTTTTAGAGAATTTTATTACATTTATTTCTTAAAAATTTTATTAATTCTAAGTTAATTGTGGTGTAACGGTATGCTAAACTTTTTCGCCTTTCTGTTTTCTTATATTTACTATGTTGCATGTTCGTTTGTCGCTTGCTAAATTTTCCTCTTGCTCATACCAAATTAAAAAAATTGCTACGTCTACAATTCACACACATAAAAAACAATACAATACAATCTAAAAATCACACAAATACACACGCACACACACCCGTTTGCTGAATTAGACTATTGCTCGCTTCCTAAGCAAACCGGTGATTGCAGTGAACAACACGCGCGCTGGCATTATTCGGATGTGGACAAGCGGTGCATGCCCTTCTACTACACAGGTTGTGGCGGCAACAAAAATAATTTCCCAAGCCAGGAGTCTTGCGAGGATCACTGTCCCAAAGAAGTTGGTAAGACTATTTATTCAAATTTATTTAAAATATAGCCACAAACACAATACACCTCAACACATACACGCACACATTTTTGTGTCAACCGTCGCTTTCGCTGTTGTGTCAAGAAGACAGGTGTTTTTACTCTCGTCAACAAACTCATGTAGTTATTGAATATTTCTTAAGCGTTTTAATTTTGTTTTGAAATATTCTGCTCATTTGTTTACTAAATAGTCAAGGATGTTTGCGAAATACCTGCCGAGGTTGGCGCGTGTACCGTTTACACTTCAATGTGGTACTACGACACTAAAGAGGAGCGCTGTCGCCAATTCTACTTTGGCGGTTGTGGTGGAAATGACAACAAGTTCCCCACCGAAGAGGCTTGTCTGCAACGCTGCGAAAAGAAACCAGAACCGGCACCCGCACCTGAACCAGAGCCAGAGTCCGCACCGGCGCCTGCACCAGCGCCAAGATCGAGAGAAGACTGTCAGCTTGATAGGGATCCAGGCGATTGTAGAGCTTACATATCTCAATGGTTCTTTGATAGAGAAACACAGCAATGCCGCAATTTCTATTATGGCAGCTGTGGCGGCAATGCCAATCGCTTCAATACGCTAGAAGAATGTAATCAATTGTGTGCTGATCAGCCACCTGCTATTGAGCCAGCACCGGCTGCGAGCACGAATATTTGTGATATGATTGCCGATCAAGGATATTGTGACTCTAATGAGATTAAGTGGACTTATGACAATGTAGAGGGACGTTGTAGGGAATTCCTTTATGGTGGTTGTGGTGGAAATGAGAATCGTTTTGAGACCGAAGCAGCCTGTAACGATCGTTGCTTGAGTCCGGTAAATAATATTGCCATACGCTTTGGCGGAGATGAAGAATCGCCAGCAGTAGCTCCAGCACCAGCTCCCGAATCGACCGAAGATAATACTTGTACGTTGCCGGCATATTATGGTAGTTGCGCAGAAAACAATCAGACGCGTTGGTACTACAACTATGCGGATGGACTGTGTGATGAGTTCTTGTATGGTGGTTGCGGTGGCAATCAGAATAACTTTAATACCGAAGAGGAATGCCAGGATCGTTGCTTCGATCAGCATCCCACATGTTCATTACCACCCACGGCAGGTAGATGCTCGGAGCGTCTTATACGCTGGTATTATGACGAGCGCGATAAGCGTTGCTATGAATTCGAGTTCACCGGCTGCCGCGGCAACAGGAACAACTTCTTTACGGAGCGTGACTGTCTAGTGTTTTGCGGTAATGAGCAGCCGCAACAACCAAAGCCATCAGCGCCTGTAAGTAACCAAATGTTTTGTATTTTTTAGACTGTGGTAGTATGTTAAGGAAGCTGAAGCCGGTTTATATAATATAGTTTTTTAGAAATAATACGCTTACCTATAATACTACTTTATTCTTATTCTCTCGTTTAGTTTAATTTGAAGATTTCGGCTATAAGTAATTGCTAAAGATAAAATACAAGACCGGGTCTCAAAGAAAATAGTTAGGAAGTTTTTTTTAAGTTATTATCACATTTTTTTATGCAGATGCGATCGCAAAAGCATTTCTAATATTATTATTATCATCTTTTCTATTTTGGTTTAAGGAGTCGTACTCAGTATGCGATTTACCCGTGGAGGCTGGTGATTGTGAAAACGGCACTGTGGCTTGGTTCTACAACAGTGATTCTATGGCATGTACGGCCTTTACGTACTCAGGTTGTGGTGGTAATGGCAATCGTTTTGAGTCTAAGGAGCAGTGTGATCGCCAGTGTGGTGAATTTAAAGGAGTGGGTAAGTAGTAAACTAAAATAATTTACTAACCTTTTGCAAACCACGCAAATCATGCAAATTTTGACGTCTGCTAGATGTCTGCAATGAACCAGTTGATGCTGGTCCATGCTATCAGTGGGAGGCACGATACTATTACAATAGGGCAACGCGTACTTGTGAACCCTTCAGCTTTGGCGGTTGTGAGGGTACTGGCAATCGTTTCACTCAACGGTCAGAGTGCGAATCGGTTTGCATTTTAGGTCAGGAGCCGAAGACGTTAGCTCCCAAAGGTAAACAACGATTGCAACGATGTACATTGATGCGAAATTTTGGCTTTTACTTATCTCATTATGTTTTCATGTTTGAATACTTTGAGTAGATATTTGCAAGCTGCCAGCACAAATTGGAAGATGCAATGATACAACTGCGCAAGAGCGTCGTTTCTTCTATGATGATGAGCGTGGCAACTGCATGCCCTTCATTTATTCAGGTTGCGCTGGCAATCAAAATAACTTCCGTTCATACGAAGCTTGCTATGACTACTGTTCAAGTAAGCGAATGCCAAATGTCAAAGACGCCAATGTTTTGACAGCTTGAAACCACTCTGCACCATTCACTTGTATTCTCACCCATGCACTTTGCACTGATTCATTATATTCTTCGCACCAAACACAAGATCCACCCACATATTCTATCCCACTTCACTTGAACTTTTGAACTTTTGCACCTTGTTATTATTTATACCTATGTAAAAAGTCTTTCTATGGAATGTTTAGTATAAGCTATCCTATCTTATCATATCTAGTTTTATGGTATTTTGTAGTTTGAATGCACTCTCATGCCATTTATTTACTTTATTTGCACGTGGTAATGGGTTTTTCACTGCCTGTATTACAATAGGAATATTATTACTTTTTATTTTTATTCGCCACACAATACTTTTTTAGTCAAACTAATTATTTATACACTTTCTTTATGTAGCAACCGAAAGTCCAGCAACGGTACCTAAAGAATCTGAAGTCCTACCGAACGAATGTGATACATATGAAAACGAGTGTCGCGCACAGCGTTGTCCCTTCGGCAGTCGTCGCGTACCAGTTGAAAATAGTGATTGTACGCGTTGCATTTGCGAGAATCCTTGCGAGAATTATGAATGTGCTGAAGGTCAGCAATGCGCTGTCGATGTGTCGAATGATGCTTCCAGACAATTTGCACCTGTTTGTCGTGAGACTAATAAGCCGGGTGAGTGTCCACGTCTCAGCGAACCGGAGGGAGAGAACTGTGATCGCGAATGTTACACCGATGCCGACTGTCGCGAAGACAACAAGTGTTGTAGTAATGGCTGTGGTTTTGTGTGTGTTCGTCCGACGAAGCCTACATTACGTCCACGACCGCCAGTCACAGCCGCTCCACCTATCATCTATCCAGGTGAGTCGCCGGTGGTTTTGGAACCCAAGAAACCACAGGAGGTCGATGTGCAAGCGGCTGTTGGTGGAATCGCTGTTTTGCGTTGCTTCGCTACTGGCAGTCCGCCACCGAATGTTACCTGGTCCCACAGTAATGTGTTGGTAAGTTTTATAGATGGTTATTTTATATAAGTACAGAAAGTCCCACTACTAGATCTAGAGCTCACGAGCTTAAGTCGAACAAATAGAGGACATTCTCTATCGGTTATATCAAATACGACTGAATCTCGAGAGATGACGTAAAAATTTTTACGCCTTTTCCCTACTCTAAGATGCACATCAACAACAAGAGGAGAAGCTCAGCGAATTTGTTGATTTACCGAGACGAGTTTTTGGGGTTAGACTATCCAGGGACTTTTCTCAATGAAATAAAAGAGATTTTCAGAACTTACATGTTTTTATATCCCCTTTATCATTGCAATATATATATTAGATTTTACGCCAATCTTACGATTTGCTATCTCTTTGCTTTGCTCAGATTGACACCAACCAAGGGCGTTATGTGTTGACCGCTACTGGAGATCTGACTATTGTACAGGTGCGGCAGACGGACAGTGGATCGTATGTTTGTGTCGCTTCTAACGGACTGGGCGATCCAGTGCGCCGTGAAATGCAATTGGCAGTAACAGGTATGGACTTTAGTTTGCTTGCTTAATATGGTGTCGGTTGTACTAATATTATGCATGTAATGTTTCTTTTAATATTTCGCATGTTGATCAATGTTAATGCTTGTCTTACTTTGCCTAACAAATGCCAAAAAACCAAAAATATTTGAAATTTGCTTGATGTACGCTAACTTAAAATGAGTAGCGCCACAAGAGATACCCGCCTATGTCTATGGCGAAAAGAATGTAACCCAACTTGTAAGCTTAAATCGACCGGCGCAGGTGCGTTGTCCAGCCGGTGGTTATCCAGCGCCGCACGTAAGCTGGTGGCGTGAACGTAAACGTTTGGGTCTGATAAGTGATCGCTTCGAATTGATACGTGATTATTCGTTGATGTTCCGCTCCATACAGTTAACCGATCTGGGACCGTACACATGCGAAGTGTGGAATGGCCTCGGTCGTCCAACCTCAATGAAAGTTGTACTTAAAGCAGTTGGGCCGGCACGTGCCGTCACCAATGCTGAAGCGCCATATTTGCAATATATAATCGATCCAGCGCGTGCGCCGGTCACAAGACGACCCTCATATCCATATCGACCACAACGTCCACCACAGCCGCCACAACCAGTTTATGTCGAACCACCGCGCCGTCAACCATTCGGTAAGTATCAATGAAAGCATGTGCGTACCCTGTATATTTGGGTGGAATAGGGAAGATTTGCCACTGTATGCCGTTTAATTGTATGGGATTATGTTGCATGTTGTTTTTAAATCGCTTTGAAGCAGACTTTCTATAATAATATTTATATGTGATTCCTATAGTACTGGCACAAGCAGTTCTAACACTGGATGCTAGAAACACATACACACCAGGCGCCTCGATCGCTATGAAGTGCGCGGTACAGGGCATTCCAGTGCCGAGTGTAACTTGGACGAAGGACTCGATACCACTGTTGGCGAATGAGCGCATACAAATTACATGTAAGTGAAATATTTTCACAAGACCTATTAGCACACGTTAAATATTGACTTTATTTCCGCTACACTCACAGCTGAGCCACACACTTTGGTGATACACAATGCCACGTCCGAAGATACCGGCATGTACGGTTGTACGGCCAGAAATTCCGCCAGTCATAGCACAAGCGAAGAACGAGTTACCATTGAGTGTAAGTATCAGACGCTTTACTATTCATCACAAGACGAACACTTCTTGATTTATTCTTTTTCTGTTCTTTAGCTACGATACCGATCCATCCCGATTGTGTTGATAATCCATTTTACGCTAACTGTAAACTAATCGTTAACGGCTCTTACTGTTCTCACCCGTTCTACGGTAAGTTCTGTTGCCGATCATGTACGCTGGCTGGCCAAAACACGTTCTCACATCCGAATGCTATATAGACGACACGTTCGGTTGTTTAGGCGATTTACTTCGCGCTCGTTGTGAGTAGCGCTATGAAAGCTGCCGTTTTTGATATAGTGCTTAAGCTCAAAGCAAAAATAAAAAATTCCAAAAACCAAAAAAAAAAATTTTTAAAATTATGAAAATAACAGTACTATTAATGTATAATTGACGCATAAATTTAAATAATTAGTATTTGCTGATCTATGTAAAAATAAACTTAATGCTACAAATTACACGCAACAATCTTTCAACACATAACACACGCACACACTTATGTAACTCTATACACAGCTAACTCAACTCGCCTAAGACGAGCTGCAAGTTCTCAGCTGCCACACTTTCCTCCCAGCAGCTGAAAGCAGTCAGTATATTAAACTCAAATGATTTTTTCCACACTTACATACATACAGGATATCTACACGCATACATACAAAAAATTAAAATAACATATAACAAAAAAATAGCTTTCACATATACATACATATATGTATGTATGTAATTATAAAGTATAAAGTTAGTTTTTAATTTGTTCCTATTTATTGTGCCAAACGAGGATCATCTGTGACGCCAATCATTTTTAAATATACACACCTGCATTGCTATATAACGGTGAATGTGTGTCTATATGAAAATCGTAGGCCACAAGCATGCTCACATGCACAACCGCACGCACATAAACAAATGTACTAATACTCAGAGAAGAAAAAGAAACGAACAAATGGGTGAAATCATATATTATCTGTGTGTTCGACCCATTTGCCATAAATGTTAATTTAAACGATTTTTTTTTTTTTTTTGTAATTGCAAAGTGCCTTACTTACGATTTATTATTATTGTAGAGATTTGTGAATTGATTTTTTAGAAGTTAATAAAATTTTGTAAATAAACTAATGAAGTAAATGAGAATAAAAAAATTGTGTTTAATTTTAATACAGTTAGATCTGATGATGAGTCTAGATATGATTTAGTGGAAGAGAGAAATTTTAGTTTGAATATGAATTCTAGTTTCATTTTGTGTTATCAACCGCAGTGACACATGCAATTTTGTACCGTATTTAGCGGGCAGGTGGCCCCGTCTCCGCGCTCTGGAAGGCTATTTGTGGGAAAATTTCGATTAACTCATATTTCGTTGATTACGACCATCTTGTAAGCACTGCTTTGATTGTCCAGGGCGTCAATCATTATGATCCACCTGTGGAATTGAAAGGGTGGGTGAAACAACAACGCCAAAGTTATTTTTCCAAAATGAACTTAAGAATTTTATACGTATTCAGTTTAGTAATCTTAAACCAATTTGCCAAGCGTTGGATGTGGAAGGATCTTCTTTGAATTAAATTTTTGGAAACTTTCCAAAGTTTGGCATGGAAAAGTTGAAAAGTGGACTATTTGTTGGTCCTCACATACGACAATTCATGAGAGATACAGATTTTATCAAATTTATGAGTGTTCCGGAAAGTGAAGTTTGGCAAGGTTTCGTGTTCGAAGTGGAAGGTTTCCTATGTAACCATAAAGCATCAAATCATGAATAAATTGTGCTGGCAAACTTTAAGATTCTGGTGTCATGAATTGTGAGCACCCATATTTTGTAAATCGATCTTATATCTAGGGCAACAAAAAAACTGTAGCCCAGTGTAATTAATTTTGTTTCAATATCTCAAGTCATGTCATGTTCTTCCCTGCTGCTACTGCTCGAGTAGTTTTCAGACATTATATTTTTCATAAGGGGGCCAGGGCATGCACATAGTCGAATTTTTGTACTGTTGTACATATATACATATACCTATATGCATATATTACCACTATGCTTTATAGGTTATAATATCTTCAATTGTTTGAGAGATTTTGATCCTTAGAAAATACTTTCCGAGAATGAAATTAAATTTTTTACTTTTCTCAATTTTTTACTTTTCTGTACATCAGAAAGGAATGATTTGCGGAAGCATTTAAAAAATTATGCACAAGTTTAAATGGTGAATACAAAACCACATTTCTCGAAAACATGTTCATAAATCAAATAATAATAAATCATTCGTGATATTTAGTAAAATATAACAGTTATTATAATTTAAATGTATTGAAATACATTCAGAAATAAAATGTAAATAAAAATAAAAAAATTTAAATATTACATTTTTCGTTTTGATAAAAAAGGCATAAAAATAAATCATGTTATATGAAACTCTTGTTATGGCAATGCTGGCAGTTTGAAAAAATCAATAATCCCACTCTCTAACTGCTTTTTGCAATTAACCGTACAGCTGTTGGCGATAACATTGCGGCATGCGCACTGTGCCACTGCATTGGCATTTTGTCAAATTTAACCTCGATGTAGTCATAGAAGTAGAAGAAAATTGCAATCAAACAAAGGCATATCAAATTTAGAAAACTAATTTAGCGATACGTCTGAGGTCACGGTAAGAAATGCCTATCATGGAGGATAGCGGCATAGACAGTGAGGATAAGCAGTCGAATAACTACGAAGACTCTACAGTGGTAAGTTTAACGGTATACCTTGCGATCCAGTAGAAATATTTGCATTGTATTACTACATTGTATTGCTGTTGATTACAGCCAATATTGGAAAAAGCAACAACACCAATAAACACAATGACCGAAGACTATGATGTGCCCGCAGTTAGCCATATGGCAGATTTGGAGGTTGTCTTCCGTGGCAGCAGTGTGCCGGAAGCCACAACCAATAAAACGATTGCACCGAAAACAGTAACGTCAGCAGCGCTTACGGCTGGCGAAAGTGAAGATGATTCCACAACGACAAGCAATCAACCGGCACCGAACACCTGTCGCATCCTGCAGCGCAAGCTGGAGCTTAAGGTGGAACGGGCGAGACGCAACTTCAGTCAGCATCAGCAGCAGCAAGAGCAGGTGTGTAAGCCGTCAATAATAATGGTGGAATTAAAAATTTTTGTGTGATGAATTAAAATCGATTTTTCATTCAACTGTTTTTTAGATACGAAAATCTCAATCAGCGAATCTCATACCCATTAGTCGATTGCCCATACCAGGCGATTCGGAGCAGAAACCACTTGTAGATTATAAGTCCGATAGCAGGTTTGTACACAATATCGTTTTTTAAGCAAAAAGCCAAACTGAAAAATTTGTTTAACCTCATAGCGATGAACCCGAGGAGATTTCATTCTTTCCTGCTAAACTGAAAAATGCTCAGCGACAGCGCAAAACGGAACTTAGCGACACTTTTAGCATACAAGAGATGACAATTGAATCTGATTTGGACTCAGACGATAGCGGTTCGCAAAACCTCGAATTGTTGCCACCATTGAGAAAGATGAACTTTTTGGAGAGTTTGAAAATCTGTTTCGGTTGTGGGAATAGAAGAAGCTAACTGCGTTGAGCAAACTAAAAAATCTTAAACAGAACAATGCAATAATATTCAAGTTGTAGCCAAATTGTATACAATAATTTACGACAAATATACATGAAACGTGCAAAATGACTGAGAAGTACATAATCTATTAGCTGGTTGTTACTTTGTCATATATTAAATTTTTTGTGGTTGGTATCTGTGGGTGTTTGACATGACAACTTAACTTGACTTAATGCGGTGATCGGCTCAAACTACAATCGAACTATTTTTATGCAATTTTATACCCACTAAGTTCTCGAAATCTTGCTAGTGAGACAATATTTTGGGAAAATGGTTTAGGATAATCAATTTGTTTATAAAAGAGCAGTGGTACTCAGTGTCTCTTAGTCATAATTTCACAAGTGCTTGTTTACCAAAATATTGGAATTCATAGTTTTTTAGCTTCAGAAATAAATGCGTATTAAAATTTAACTATTTTATACTTTCTTAGTTCTTACAAATTACGAAGTTATCTCTCCTATATCTCGTGACTTGTTCTCTTTTGCCCTTTGCTAGAAAGAGTTAAGACTAAGAATACGAATGAGAACGAGTAATTTTTACAATCATTTATTTGAAGGCGGTTAAAATTTTGTTTGAAAGTGACTTTTACTAACTAAAAATTGAAAATATAAAAGGTAGAGAAATAAAAATCGAGTTCTTTGTTAGGGAGTTCAGTCAGAGTAAGCTGGACTAATAATGGTGAATTCATATTTAGTTGTGACCAAGACACCAATATAGACGAATGCTAGATTGTTAAATAATCTTTTCCGTTGCGTAAATTGAGATTCGGAGTTTAACTGGGTTTTCTAGCAGTTAATTGTTTTTACCTTTTTCATAACGGAAAATTTACAAAATTTACCCGGCAACTATTTATATTATATAATCTTGCGATATGTTGCTACAGAGTATAATAGTTTTGTAGATCGGCGTAATCGGACCACTGCCACGCCTACAAAACGTTCTTAGCGCTCAATTTAGGTATACACTTTAAATTTGGTACAGCGAATTGCATTGGGTTGCATCTATGGTTGAATATTTTTTTAACTTCCCGCTAAGAAAATTGAAAATTTTCTAAAAATCGGGAAGATATTGGTTTCACCCCATTTTGCAAAAATCGAGTTCTCAACAGATCTCGACGTTTTGAGGGTCGAGGAAGCTTCCCCGAACATTTCTACGATGATGTCCGTATGTCTGTATGTATGTGTGGATGTATAAGTGTGTGTGTGGATATATGTGACCCTCTTATAACTTTTAAACGGCTCAACCGATTTGAATAAACTAAACGGCATTCCAAAGGGTTTCATTGCACTTGAATTTCGTGTGAGTTTGGACCCAATCGGACCAGTAGATTTTGAGAAATCTCAAAAATAAATCGTTTTTTTCGAATTTGTTTCAAACGGCTTGACCGATCGACACCAAAAACTAATCAGTTCTAAACCTTGAAAAAACACATCGTTTGCCGCAAACCGGGTCAAAATCGGTTGATTTACTTGCGAGATATCGAAAACGAAAAATTTCGAAAAAATCGTTTTTTTCGAATTTCTTCCAAACGACTTGACCGATCAACACCAAAAACTAATCAGTTCTAAATCTTGAAAAAACACATCGTTTGCCTCAAACCGGGTCGAAATCGGTTGATTTACTTGCTAGATATCGAAAACGAAAAATTTCGAAGAGCTCCAAAGCAGTGAAAAAAGCGAAATTTGAACGTTAGCGTATGAAATTAGAGGGAAGGGGAGGGCCTCAAGGGCCATCCCTGGGCCAACCGTTTTCCACATTTTTTTAAAGTGGCCTTGGCCCCGCCCTCTAATAAGTTTAATGTACAATATATAACTCCTAAATTTTTTGAGTTATATGACCTAAATTTATACCGAATAAATGTTTTTGACTCTTCCTTCGACAATCTGAAAATGGATGAAATCGGATGATACCCCTCCCACTCTCCATATAACGGTTTTGTTAACATTTACTAAAAATGCGATAAATCTATAACGAAATGCGTCAAAGACATTAAATTTTACATCCGGTATGGTACAAAAGCATTTTATAAGAGCCGATATTAAATTGGGCAATGGGCGTGGCACCGCTCACACTTAGGTGAAATCACATATCTCCGGAACTACTTCAATAATTTCAACCAAAATTGGTACGTAGAATTATTTCCATGATACAAAGCGAATATGGAAGAAACCGGACTACAACCACGCCTGCTTCGCATATAGTAAAATTTTATATTCTATATAATTCTTATATTTTACAAGTCTACAAATTGTCAAAATTGGTCCATACCTGATCAAGCTATAGTTACCGAATATGGAGATCCCCGTGTCGGGTGCTAACTTTTTATCAGAAGCAATGGTAAATCTGTGAGATATATTATCGCAATTTGGAGAGAGTCTCTTACTGATAATAGAATGCTTGTATATCAAAAATGGATGGAATCGGGTCAATACTTCTCTTATACCTTATCGAAATATTTTCGAATTTCGGTTTACTTCATACTGCATATATCGGCCAATATGTGAGTTATGTTATCTTATTAAAATTAAGAGGATATATTTTTCTTATAATGCTGCATTTTTATGCCTAAAATAAGTAAAATCGGTTGAAAACTTGCCTTAGCCCTCATTTAACTAATCACAGAATTTTCAAACATCCGTTTGGTTTTACTCCATATTCATATGTTGGTGAGGGTACGTGTGGTATCTTATTATCTTATTTTTCATATACCTAATAGAAGATTTTAAAACTTCCTGTTAGCCTTATGCCATATATAAGCGTTGATATGTAAGATATCTGAGCAAAATTAAATGAACGAATAATATTGGATATGATCTTAAGTATATGCCAGCAATGTCAAAATTAACACAATCAGCCCATCCTTTTCTCTGTTATCAATATGGTCTGTATAATAGCTTCCGACTTTCCATCTAACGAAATGTGAGATACTTTTATAAAATTAACAAGTTTTCTTAAAAATTGTGTGTGAATATCAATGCAATAGGTCTAGACTTTGTTCAAATCGTTGTATCCTTAAATGAATTAATTGCGATCCTCTGGTTGACTTTTCACCTCAACTCACCTGAAGAAGATAAATTATATTAAATTTATCACCTACAAAAAAATAATTATATTCAATATATCTTCTTCAGTTGAGTTTATTTCCCATATATAAGGTACAGTTCAAAAGTTCCAGGACTTTTTAAACAACGCGGCTTCTAGTGGCGCCATCTGTCTGAAATTGTTATCCCTCAATTGTGTATTCTTCAGTGTTGTCGTATAAAATTTATATAACAGCTGGCTTGTATAACAGCTGAGATGTCGCGCTACATGTGACATTACATTTGTAGTGTCGGTCAGAAAATGAGCATCGAACAAAGAGCCAACATTAAGTTTTGTTTTAAACTTGGTAAAACTTTTACTAAAACACATCAAATGATGAAACAAGTTTATGGCGATGATTGTCTATCCCGTACGCGTATCCACGAGTGGTTTTAACGTTTTCAATAAATTTTTCAAAAAAAAAAAACAAATAATATTCGTTTTTTAATAAAAGTCCTGAAACTTTTGAATTGCACCTTGTATATCTTTTGAAGATGATTTTAATACAATTTTAGCTGACGCGAAGTAAAATATAGTAATAAAATTAGGTGAGTCTATGACCCATAGTATATCTTAATAAAATACCAAATTTGATTGTAATCCATTCACGATTTCGTCGGATATTGAATGTTGAATTGTTTGGCAATATTTTTATGCTCTCGCAACTTGTTGGTACAGAATATAATAGTTTTGTTCACCTAACGGTTGTTTGTATCACCTAAAACTAATCGAGTTAGATATAGGGTTATATTTTTATATATATAAATGATCAGGATGAAGAGACGTGTTAAAATCCGGGTGACTGTCTGTCCGTCCGTCCGTCTGTGGAAGCTGTAACTTGAGTAAAAATTGAGATATCTTTATGAAACTTGGTACACATGTTTCTTGGTACCGTAAAACGGTTCGTATTGCATATGGGCGTAATCGGACTACTACCACGCCCACAAAACGCCATTATTCAAAAACAAATAAATTGCCATAACTAAGCTCTACAACAAGATACAAGACTCTTATTTGGTATAAAGGATCACATTAGGGAGAGACATGTGCAGTTAAATTTTTTTTTTAAGTAAGCGTGGTCCCGCCCCCTAATAAAGATCTGCTTAACCGATTTCAACCAAATTCGGTACATAATATTCTTCTCTTATTTCTATGTATGTCTTATAGTACGAAAATGGGCGAAATCGGATTACAACCACGCCTATTTCTCAAATAACATGATTTTAAATTCCATCCGATTTGTATTTGATCCAGTATGCAAATCAAGCAACAATGATTATATCTTTGCGTGTATAATACGTTTAAAGTATGCCATCTTGTGACCAAAAATTGTCTAAATCGTACTAAAACTGTTCAAGCCCGTAGGTACTGAATATGTGGACCCCAATGCCTATAGTTGAGTTTTTACCGAAAATATCGGTCAACATAGAACAAGGCGGCAAAATCCACAAAGAAATCTAAAACGAGTATACCATTTGACTTTGCAAGAGTATAAAATGTTCGGTTACACCCGAACCCAGCCTTTCTTTACTTGTTCTATGTCATGTATGTAGTGAAGCTGATTTATATTTTCGAAAAGTGTGAATGGAGTAGACCGAGCTACTAATTTAGCAACCTTACTTTCAAATTTGCCTTTCCAATCGTATTTATGCGTTATTTTGGAATACTCTATTAAAATTGAATTTAATTTTGAAGAAATGAATAAGTATGGCTCGATATTTCAGTAACCTTTTTTCATTAAAGCATAACAAAAGCCAAGGACTCATACAACATGTGGATACTTTTTAAGCTTATTCTCTAAAAATGTTTTTTTTAAGTACTAAATTTTCTCGATGATTCTGTATGATGTTGATATATAATACATACATAATATAAAAACGAAAATGTCGGTAAGAATGAAAAATGTTTTAATAGTTTTTTGAAATTTGTTTTAGAAATAAATGGTAAATTTTATATTTTCTAGAAATTATTGTAACGGTGAAAACAATATAAATAAAAATACA